ATCTCCACAGTAACCAGACCACAACAGTGAGCTCGGAGCACTCAAGACCAGTCAGGCATCTCGGCAAATAGGGCCTGGGCCTGGCCCCACAGTCCGCTGGGGTCCCCTTCCTTTGTGGCACCCCCCCTTAGACATCCCACGGCTCGGAGACACCCACACGTCCTGTCCCCTGCACCAGGTTCGGAGCTGGGACGCAAAGACAGAGAACAGGCGCGGTGGGACCTGGGGGGGGTGCGCGAGTCCCCCCTTCCCCATTCCCACGGCCTGTCCCACCCGCCTCCCGCCCAGCCTGCTGGCTCTCTGAACCGCTGCTGTGTCGGCCCCCGCAGGAGCCCCATCCTCTGTGGCCAAGATGCCCTTGAGACACCCCGCTGTGAGCAGCCGCTCGGAGGAAAGCGAGGTCTACCTGGAGGGAATGGGTAATTCAGGCGTTATTTCTTCCTGCACTCTTTCTTTTCCTGCCCTGAGCTCTCTTGAGTTCCAGGCCCTGGGGGCAGGTGCGCCCTCTAGTGGGGAACAGACCCGCTCCCAGTGGAGTGGGTCCAGCCCGCGGAGTGCGGTGAAAAGTCTTGCAGGAGAAATTTGAGTGAGTAGGGCCCAGAATTCCTCGCAGGAATTACGAGGGGGAGAAGGTGTGTGTGCAGGGGTGTTTTAGCAAATAGAACAGCATGTGTCTAGAGCAGGCGTTCTCAACCTTGGAGTCCCTTGATTCTTCATTGTGGGGCCTGCACTGTGCTTAGGAGCGCTGGTGGCGCAGTGGTTAAGAGCTCAGCTGCTAACCAGAAGGTCAAGGGTTCAAACTCTCCAGCTGTGTGGCGGGAGGCAGATGTGACAGCTTCCGTAAGGATGACAACCTTGGAAACCTTCTGGGGCAGTTCCACTCTGTCCTCTAGGGGCGCTGTGGGTCAGAATTGATTAGATGGCAATAGGTTTGGTTCTTGGGTTTGGTTCTGTGCTTTGTGGGATGTGTAGCAGTGTCACTGGTCTCTACCCATGAGGTACCAGTAGCACCCACCCCTCTGCGGCCAGTCATGACAATAAAAAATATCGAGGGGTGCAGAATTGGCCCATGTTGAAAGCCACTGGGCTAGAACCAGGTGCCTCTGGGTTGCAGACGTGGGTCATGTGGGGCCTTGAAAGCCTGGGGAGGGGGAGAGCTGGATGTGGGAGAGCTGTGCGAAGGGATGAGAGGGTCTGTGGGGATAGAAAGCCCCTCTGGGGCTGTGAGGGGACACTGGGAGGGTGAGGAGGAGGTGGCTGCGGGGATGGTCCAGGCAGAAGATAAGGGCATTGGGCTGAGAGAGTGAGGAGAGGCCGAGGACTGCCAGGCAATGGGGGCTGAAGGGGAAGGAGGGACTGAAAATGGTTCCCGGGGGGGGTGTGTGGGCACCTGTCCTACCCTTTCCCAAGTTTCAGGTCGGGTTTCTTGGGGGCTTTGGGGCCAGAGAGGCCGCCGAGGTACGCCCTCTAGTGAACAACAGTGGCGTGCCCAAACCAAGGGTTGGAGCGCGTTTAAGTAAAAGAACCTGTGGCCATCTTGGGGACATCTCTGTCCCCACCACTGAAGGGGTGGGGCCCCTGGAGAAACACAGGAACTGAGATGCAGTCCCAACAGAGGGGACAGTTTGTGGGACCCTAATAGGTTTAGAAATCTGGGGTCTTGGAGAGCAGCGGCCTGGGGGCCCAGACAGCAAACGCATCCCTTGCCTGACCCTGCCCTCAGTGGACTGGGAGCTAAGCCGCCTGCAAAGACAGTGCAAGGTGATGGAAGCCGAGAGGCGGACCTACAGCAAGGAAGTCCACCAGCGCGTGAACAAGCAACTGTGAGCCCGGCGCCGGGGTCTCGGGCCAGGGGTGCTGGGCTCCAGGTCTCAGCGCTCCTGAGCTCCGCCTCCTTGCCGCCCCGGGCAGGGAGGAGATCCGGCGCCTGGAGGAACGGCGGGCCAATCTCCAGGTGCAGATCAGCATCGCCCAGACCCAGGTCAAGCGGCTGCGGGACAGCCAGCGGCTGGAACGCATGGGCCAACTCCTCAAGTGCCGGGCCCAGGTGCAGGCGGAAGTGGAGGAGCTGCAGAAACAGATCAGAGAGCTGGACAGGAAGGTGGGTTCCCGAGCAGCTCAGTGAGGGGCGCGGTGCCTCACCGCTCTGAGCCGCAGCGTCCTCAGCTGGAGAATGAGGCTGTGAAAAGCACCTGCCTGGTAGGTCGGTAAGGAGCCGCGCTGGCGCTGTGGGTAAGAGCTGGGCCGTTGCAACCCGCCAGCAGGAGAATGATGTGGCTGTCTGCTTTCCCACAGATTGACAGCCTTGGAAAGGCTGCAGTTCCACTCTGTCCTCTAGGGGCGCTGTGGGTCGGAATCGATTCCAGGGCAGTGGGTGTGGTTTGGGCTTTGCTTTCTAAAGAGTGACAGCCTTGGAAACCCTATAAGCAGTTCCACTCTCCGTTTTAGGGTCACTTTGAGTCAGAATCCATGGGATGGCAGTGAGTTTATTTTTAGGGTGGTGATTTGGTAGAACAAATAGTTTGCACTTCACAGTAACCTAAGGGAGCTCTGGTGGTGTAATGCCTAAGGCATTTAAGTGCTAACCAGAAGGTTGGCAGTTCAAACCCACTAGCCACTCTGCAGAAGGAAGACCGGGCAATGTATTTCCATAAAGATTTACTGCCTGGGAAATTCAAAGGCAGTCTCTATGACTTGGAATCGACTTGCTGGCAGTGAGTTTGTTTTTTTGGTTTAGTAGCCTAAATGTGGGCATTTCACATGGAC